GGGAGGGCGCGCAAGGGGCGCGCGGAGGCGGAGACGGGGGCGCCGGGCTCCCCCGCACGGTGAGATCGCCCGCTCGTTCGGCTCACGGCCAGTGGTGCACTCCTGCCATGGTCCCGCCCCCCGGCACGCGGGATTGGGTGACTCTGGAGGTGTGCGGGGGGGCGGGGCCGCACGGGGGCGCAGCACAATGGTTCGGTCCACGTACTGGGCCCCAACCCCCTCCCAGCGGTTCGAGTTTCTGCGCCCGGAGGACGCGGCCTCGGCCAATCCCCGGGCTCCAGGGCGCGTTTAAAATGCAGGTACGGCCGTGGGGGGCGGGGGTGGAAAGGTAGGGCCTGGCTCCCCTTAAAGGCGACGTTGGCCTAGGGTTAAGCCCCCTCCCTGCCGGAGCCCCTCCCCCCACCTCTCAAGCTCATAAACAAACACCCAGGGACTGCGCGACAGCTCCTCACTCCCTCCTGGGGACACCAGCATTTGGTGTATTCGAGACGCGACGAACAATAGGGCTCGACGCGGGGTCGGGCAGGGCGCTCTTTGTCCCTCTCCTGTCCCCAGACACCACCACCCCCGCCCCTCTCCACCCGGGTTCCCCGCCGGGGCGCGCAGCGAGTCCGAGCTTCCTCTCCTGGTCTGGGACTGAAGATTCGCGGCCGCGCGCAGAAACCCAGGGCCTGGCCAGCCGGGCCAGAGTCCAACCTGGACCCTCTCCCCGACCTCGATGCGGCCTGGGAACTGGGGAACTGCCACTCGTCTGGAGCGGGCACAGAACTCAACTGCACCGCCACATCCCCAGGATCGGTGGGAAATCAGAGATCCGGGAGGCGCAAAACCCTTGGGTCCAGGACGCCCAGCCAGCCGCCAAGGGCCACCCGCCCGACCCCTGCAGCTGAGCCGCGCACCGGGTCTCCCCACAATCAGGCCAATAAGCCTCGTTATCCTGACGTCCCCAAAGCGCATTTACCGCGCGTGTAGTGCTAGCTTGCAGGGGAGATTATCCCCTACTCCCGCACGGAAATGAAAACCCTCGCGCGCGACCGTGAGCTGCCCACGGCCCGAAGCGCGCACCCGCGCAGCAGCTGATGTCCCAGCTGACAATTGCACGACCCTTCCCCAAACAACTGTGTGACGGGTCTTTCCAGGCCTGGTCTGGCCCCACCAGCTCCCAGCCTGGTGGGGGGGTGAGGGGAGGACACGACCTGGCAGGAGGCCACTAGCCTCTGGGGGTTACTTAGCATTCTGGGAGGAAGAGGGAGAGAAGATAATAAACAGACTAGATAACCGTGAGACTGGCGTAAGTGCTGTGCAGGGAATTGAGGCGGGCTGCTGTCACACAAAGTGATTGTCAGCTGACTTCTTCCAGTGGTTAGGGAGGGCAGAGACCTGAGATGTGAGCTACAAGGACAAAGGTACAGGGGAAAGGCATTCTAGGTGGAGGAATAGCTCCTGCGGAGGCCTGGCATGGCCTGTGGGAAGAAAGCCAATGGGCTGCCTGGGTCGGAGAAGGTGCTGCGTGGGCAGAGTGCAGCATCTGTGATTCTAAGCAGCTGGGAAAGCTCGCTGGGTTAGCCAGAGCAGTAGGCCTGGCTCACCTTTTACACATGTGGATTAGGCACAGGGCTGCACAAGGAGGTCCAGGTTCAAGTATCTCCTCACCCACAACCACGAAGACAGTCAGGAGAGTGTGGGGGTGCAAATGAGTGCCCTGGGAGACACCAGGACACATCAGGGCTGCCAGGAGACCCCTCTTCCCAGCCACTGCCATGGTGGTTTCTGTGGCCTGCCTCTCTCCCTCCACCAGGATGGCAGCTTCCCGAATAAAAGAAGGCTCCTCTCCCTAGGATCTGTTTGTGGCATCTACACAATGTGAACCAAAAGGCCCAAGGCCCTCAGCTGACACCCTTGGCTTTGCCAGCATTCTCCAGGTGCAGCCAAGCCCAGGTGGGCTACTGGGAACTGAGAGAGGGTCTCCTGCTCCCCACAGCTGGGCATCCTGAGATGGAAGATGAGGGGCCCAGGCCTGGCCCTGGAACCTGAAGCAAGAGGGATGGCCCAGCCAGAGCTCCTCCCTGGGGGCCCCTGGGCTTCAGCTCCTACCTGAGAGGCTATGTTCCCAGAATTCTCAGGATCTAGCACAGCCTGGATCCTGGGTGTCAAGTGACACTTCATTTTTGGTCCCTTGGTCATGAGAAGCTGTGCTTTGGCATGGAAATGGTAAAACCCCATCATGGAGTTCCAACACAGAACTTCTCAAGATGCCCAGAAAAGTAGTGGTGAGTCTTAAAAAACAGACGAACCCCTCCACCCACCCACCCACCCTGAATGGAGTGTGTTCAGAGCTGCACAAACATCTCAAGAGGTAGCGAAGGCTGAGAACCACTATGCAACCCGGTGCACACAAAACGTGGAGATCAGAGCAGGGAAGTCAGAGGGTCCTAACCCTGAGAAGGAAGGGGGTCTCACCATCATCTCTGTGTCTGGCTGGGGGCCAGATCCCAGATTTGGCCCTGGCTGCTTAGTGCATGACTAAGTCCAGGTTCTCATTTTGAAGATGAGGAAACTGAGCCCCCGAGTTGCCCACAGTCACGTTCCTTTATCGGTCTACTGAACACACAGTGTATATGGAAATCTGCAACACATCGCGGTTAGTGGGTGGGAAGATCCAAGGGGCCCTGAGGATGGTGGCCTGGAAGAGAGACATCCTCAAGGCTTAATGAGAGCTGGGCAGATTGGGGAGGAGGAGAAGGAGACAGTACCAGCAAAGGCCCGGGCTGAGCAAGGTGACTTCATAGAGAGGCACGGGCAGGAGCTTGAGCGTGAAGTGTTAGGAAGGTCGTGGCACTGCGTGGAGGATGCTTTGTGAGTTTAGTAGTGTGGTCCTTCCTCCAGGACTCAGAAGTAACCACAGAAACCATGATGGTAACCAGTACATCCTGGCACCCCAGAAGTGCCCAGGATTCTAAATCCCACCCCTAGCAGTGCCGCAGCAACCTCATCGGGGGACCATCACCCTTCTAGGATCGGGTGTGGATCAGTAAGTGGACACAGGCCCTTGTGGATGTCCGAGGGCTCTGGTTTGGCCAGAGGAAAGCTGTGAGAAAATAAGTGAAGCTTGATGTTGGTCGATCACTTCTGGTGAACCCTCCTCTCCCTTAGCCTCCCCCATCCTCTGCACCAGGACATGTGATAATAGGGTGTTTGTTCCCATTTTCCAGAGGCCAGCACTGAGGTCCAGAGAAACAAAGGCCATCTGAGAAACTCAGCACTCACTCCTGGCAGACTGCGCTCCTAAGCATGGCAGGCATGGCTCTGGGCTGTCCCTTCCTTTGGGGATGGGGTCTGTACAGAATCTGTAGAACCTCTAGGACAGCCTCCAGCAGTCAAGTGTCCAGGTCCTGCATTTTCAAGCAGGGACACTGCACTGAAGCTGGGACCAGCAGTGTACCTGGAGGGTGACCCCTGCAGGGCCACAGCCGGAGGTAGGGGGCGGCTGGGAACTAGCACTGTGCAAGGTGTGCCGGGAGCAGCCGTTCTGGTACAGAGGTGCTGAGGCTGACACCCAGGGGCTCCCTCCCAGCCTGGCCAAACACCTTATGTCTGACCTGGCCATGGGGAGCCGCAGCAGGGCTCAGACCTGAGGAAAGAGCAGGCTGCACTGAGACTGGCGCTGTCAGGGAGGGTAAGTGGGCCGGAGCAGAGTGGGGGTGGGGACAGAGAGGCCAGTGGGGGGCGGCTGGCCTCTGCTCCCCTTGGTGCCCCTCACCTCACACCCATTGCCCCAAGGAGACAGCCAGAGCAGGAGTCTAGCGCATCAGGAAACGGAGTCACTCAGGCTCCTTGCTGGTCATGCTGTCTCCTTGATGCCCTTAGAACCATTCCTCATACGATGCTCAGAGTCCTGTTATGAAGAGCAGCAGCACAGTGGGCAGCGGGGAGCCCCTCCTGCCTGGAGGAGCACCAGCCTCAGCTCTGGGGGCCTCACGACAAGCCCTGGCTGCTGCTGCTACCCTCCCGAGCCCCAGGCCAGCGCTGATGCCCCTGTGCGCTCACGCCCCGTCTCCTCTCTCTTACGGTGTTGGATCACAAGTGCTCCTCAGGTGTGTTTACGTGGGACCGTGCTTGGTGTGCTGGATCACAGTTCGCTTCGTGCTCACGCTGTTGGTACGCAGAGCTTGTTCACCCCCCCACAGCTGCACACGGCTCCCGGCCGTAGCGCAGGCCACTTGGTATCTAGTAAACCTTTTGGGTGAGGGGCTGCCCTACGCAGTGTGGGGCATTTACCAGTATCCCTGGCCTGTACCCTCTGAGTGGAAGCAGCACCCCTCTCCTCAATTTTATTTTTTTAATCTTTTTTTAAAGTTTATTTATTTGGTACAGGGTCTCGCTATTCAGCTCAGACTTGTAGCAGTCCTCCTGTCTCAGCCTCCGCAGTGCTGGGGTTACAGGCATGCGCCACCATACCAGATTTCAGTGGCCGGCTGGCATACCCAGAGTTCCAGAGTCGGCAGGGCATATAGTTCAGGGGATCGAACCCTGGTCCTTGAGCTTGCCAGGCAGGTGCTTAGACTGCTGAGTTACCTCCGTAGACCCCTCTCCTCGATTTTAAAAACCAAAGACACAAGCTGGATATGGTGGCACACACCTATGATCCCAGTGCTTGGGAGGCTGAGGCAGGAGTATCAAAACTTTGAGGCTAGCCAGGGCTACTAAGTGAGCTCAGTGCCAGCCTGGGCTATGTAGTCAGAGTGAAACCTGTCTCCAGAAAAGAAAGCCCTAAAACAGAGAAGCCCAGGTCTAGCTGCACACGGGAGTGACCCAGTGAATTGGGGGAAGAAAGAGAAAGAGGACAAGTAGGTTTCCTCACTCCAAAGGTGTGCGGCTAGCAGACTGCTGCCTTCACGTGTGCATTGGTAAGTGTAACAGGATTTGTGCCCTTACATGGTAGTTACGGGGGTGCAAGATAGTTTCTCTTCCAGCCCTGTCTGCAGCGAACCTCTCATCCCAGATGTCTCTGGCCAGGCCTTGACAAGGCCTCCACTCAGCAGTGCTGCCCGCTGGCCGCACCTGCCTGTGGCAGACATGTGAAACCAGTCCCCCGGTACCTGAATATTT